CCGCCGGGGGGACCGCGGGGGCAGTCCTGCCGGGGCGCAGAGGGGAGCTCCCCGCGAGGTGAGACCTGGGCACAGCCGCGGCCCCGGAGCAAAGGCCCGGGGGGAGGGCGGTCCCTGGGAGGGCGCCCCGGGTTTACTGCAGGTCTTGCTGCTGGTGGTCTGCGCGGGGTAGGAGGCGCGGTCTGGCGCAGCCCCTGCTGTGCGAAAACACTAAAGAGCAGCTAGGTGGAAACCTCGGGGCTCGCTGTCACCGGGCCCTCTCCTAGGCTGCTCTCTGGAACTGGGCTGGCAGATCCGACTCTTGGGGGCAGGGGACGCTCCCGAGCACGACTCCGAGGCCAAGGGCGCGCTGGCCTGGGCAAGGGGAGAGAGGGCGCCCGGGCAGCTCTAACTTCCCTCGCTCCCGTTTCATCCTCCCTCTCTCGTCTCTCCCCCAGCTAGTCTGCATGCCGGATGCCGCGCAGCGTGGGCGCCAGGCTGAAGGTCCGAGCTCGCAACGCAGCTCTGCGCTTTTCCTCGGTCCATGAGCCGGCCCTGGACCCGCTGCTGCTTGTGAGCTCCGGCAGCGGGGGCGGTGACTCGAGAGGCCGAAGGATCGCGGCGACGCCGCAGCAAGGACGCACCACCGCTGATCCATCTGGGGAGGCCGCTCCGTAGCCAGCAGACACCCCCGCGTCCCAGCCATCGCAGTTTAAGAAAGCGACGGTCAAAGGGACCGAGGCCACTGGGCTCCCCTTACCCGCCGACTTGGGGACCCCCCCCCAACCCTCGCTTCCGGGGAAGTTAAATCGGCCAGAGTTTGCCTTGAAGACGCGCCACGCCCCCTCCCCAATCTGAGCCTGGCTGGAAACCGAGCGCGCGCACTAGCGTGCGAAACAGAAGCGACGCTGCGCCCGGACGCTCACATCTTCAGCGCTAGGGAGAACTCCAGGGCGGGAGGCTGGATTGGTGGCGGCGGAGACAAAGCGGATACGAAACCAAGAGTCTAGGCGGACGTGGGGATCTGGTGCCGCAAGAGAAGAGGAGGCGGCAGCCGAGAGATCCTAGCGTCCTGGGGAGCGGGCGGCGGTCATGGGCGA